TCTCCCCCCCCCCCCTCTCTCTCTCTCTCTCTCTCTCTCTCTCTCTCTTTCTCTGCTGCCGTCTGGAGGCTTCCTGGGCGATTAGCCACTCGGGTTCCTCTCTATTTTTTGTTTTTCTCTCTCTCTCTCTCTCTCTCTCTCTCTTTCTCTCTCTCTCTCTCTCTCTCTTCTCTCTCTCTCTCTCTCTCTCTCTCGCTCTCTCTCTCTCCTCTCTCTCTCTCTCTCTCTCTATTTCTTGCGCTCTCTCTCGCTCGCTCTCTCTCTCTCTCTCTCTCTCTTTCTCTCTCTCTCTCTCTCTCTCTCTCTCTCTCTCTCTCTGGTCGCGCGGGCGGGGTGCGGTGGGGGGTTTGCTGCCGGTGCAGCAGCGGCAGCGGCGGCGGCGGTGGGCGTGGCTGGCAATGCCGGAGGCAGCGGCAGGGGTGGCGGCGGCGGCGGCGCTGGTGGCGGCGGCTCTCGCAGCAGTGGCAGTGGCAGCGGCAGCCGCGGCGGCCGTGCTTGTGGGGGTCTCAAGGCTTTGGAAGCACAACATAGGGTCGCAAATGGGGATTTCTTGGCTCTGCGCAAGGCGTCCCCTACACGGCGCTCATGTGCCTAAATTCCACGTTCCTGGCATGTGCAAAGCCCCAATCGAGGTTAAGGCGCTTTACTTGCACAGGATGTTTTCTACAGTGATTTCCGTTGCAGTTGCAATATCAGTACATTTTGGCAGTCTCAAGGGTGTTTTCTGGGTCCATTCTGGTTATCCTCCACAGTTTCACCGAAGCCCTGCCGAGGCAGTGTCGGGGGCTGCGCGGTGTGGCGCGCTGGGCCCTGGAGGTGCAGCGGACAGCCACGTCCGCGGTTGAGGAAAAAACATTCATTCCTTGTGGTGGGGGGGGGGCGCACCATTGCACTCGCCACAGCCACCGCCCGCCGCCCCTATTTTCCACCGCCCCAGCTACGCTGCCGCCATCGCCGCCTGTGCTTCATGGCTGCCCCCCCCCCCAGCCCCGCTGCTGCCACTTCCACTGCAAGTGCGACCACTGTAGCACCCCCAAACCGATGGCCGCGCTCCGCCCCACACCAGCACTGCCACCGCCTCCACCGCGCCCCTAATCCCACATTGGCTACACACGCAGTAGCGACAACCACTGCCAACATCTGGAGATAATCAATGCTGCAGCTACCCGCGCACATCTGCGCTCACGTCACTTCTCCGACACCATTACCGGGCTCCTGCCATTCGATAGACACTGTAGTTTGACACCTGTGCAAGCAACGCGGTTTCAGTAAAGTGAATGGCCTCAAATAGTGGGAATTGATTTCTAAAAGAGAGCTCAGGCGGGAGAGAGAGCGATGGGGCGAGCGAATGCGAGCGGAGAAGAGAGAGAAAGAGAGACAGAGAGAGAGAGAGAGAGAAAGAGAGAGAGAGAGAGTGAGACAGCGAGATGCAGAGAGAAATGGAGAGAGAGAGAGAGAGAGAGAGAGAGAGAACAAACAACAAGAGAGAGAGAGAGAGAGAAGCGCCCGCATCCGCCACTACCACCACACACGCCACCACGCCTGCCCTGCAGCGCGCCACAGCCACTACCACCGCCGCGGCCAGCGCCCTTCGCCCCAACTGCCTTGCCCGCCCTACGACCATCGCCGCTGCCGCCGCTACCTCACCGCTGCCGCGGCCGCGGCCCCCACTACCCGCCCCATGCGCCGCCGCCACCAACGCCACTGCCGCCCCCAGTGCCACTGGCTGCCCTGCCGCCGCGGGCCTTGCCGCCGCCGCCGCCACTAGTTCGAGGCACCCAGCGCCCCAGCGCCCGCAACGGCAACGCCGCGGCCCCCAGAACCTCTTTCTTCAACCCCAACGGCGGCCGCGCTCCCCGCCGCCGCCGCTGCCGCCAACACCACCACCGCCAACGCCGCCGCCAATGCCGCACCCCTACCAACAACGCGGCGACGACAATCGCCGCCCCCACCACTGCTGCCACCACCGCTGCCACCACTGCTGCCGCCACGCACGCCACAAAGCCACCACCACCACCACCGCCACCGACATCACCACCACCACGACGACGACGACGACGACGGCGACGACCACGACGACGACCACTACCACTACCACCACCACTGCCACCACCACCACTACGCACACGACTGCTACTACGACAACCACCACCACTGCCACTTCTTCTTTTACCACTACTACTACTACTACTACTACTACTACTACTACTACTACTACTACTACTACTACTACTACTACTACTACTACTACTACTACTACTACTACTACTACTACTACTACTACTACTACTACTACTACTACTACTACTACTACTACTACTACTACTACGACTACTACTACTACTACTACTACTACTACTACTACTACTACTACTACTACTACTACTACTACTACTACTACTACTACTACTACTACTACCACTAACTACTACTTCTACTACTACTTCTACTACTACTACTACTACTACTACTACTACTACTACTACTACTACTACTACTACTACTACTACTACTACTACTACTACTACTACTACTACTACTACTACTACTACTACTACAACTAATACTACTACTACTACTACTACTACTACTACTACTACTACTACTACTACTACTACTACTACTACTACTACCACGACTACTACCACGACTACTACCACGACTACTACTACTACTACTACTACTACTACTACTACTACTACTACTACTACTACTACTACTACTACTACTACTACTAACTACAACTACTACTACTACTACTACTACTACTACTACTACTACTACTACTACTACTACTACTACTACTACTACTACTACTACAACTACTACTACCACTACCACTACCACTACCACTACCACTACCACTACCACTACCACTACCACTACCACTACCACAACCACTACCACTACCACTACCACTACCACTACCACTGTTGCTGCTGCTGCCGCTGCTGTTTCTGCCGCTACCGCCGCCGCTTCTACTGCCATTACCACCACCACCGCCACCGCAGCCACTACTTGCACTATTGCTGCCACGGCCGCTGCTACTGCGATTGCCATCGCCGCTGCCACTACTACAACTACACGCGCCACTGCCACGACCGCCGCAGCTGCTCCCACCACTCCTGCGCTGCAGCCAACTCAGCCACAACTACGCGGGCAATTTTTCCCGGGTTTGCAGTTCGATTGCCCTGAGGGGCGCGGCTGTTGCACCGCCACTTGCCAGGGGGGGGGGGGGGGGATTTGGGGCTTCTGGGGCCCGCGCCCCCGCAGCCTCCAGAAGCTTTCCACCGACATCGATGGGGCGAGGGCGCGTGAGACTTCAAGGCCCTTGGCTCCTGGCCACAGCAAGCACAGGCGCAGCAGCCGCAGGCACCTCCCCCCGTCTCCCCCCTCCCCCCTCCCACCCCCCCCCCCCCGCGTGCCTGAGGCAATGTAGTGCAATGGGAAAGGGCAATAGGATGGGGCAAGCAGGATGTGCCCCCCTTTCCCTCCAAAAATAATGGCATTGTAGTGAAATTTGGCAGACTTTGTCTCACAGTCTGACCTTCTTGGGTTCAATTCCTGGTGGTGCCTTTGGGGCCTGCCTGGGGGTGCAGGGCGGTTTCCAGCGAGCTGCGGATTGCCCGTGCACCTCCCACCCCCTGGGGACAACTGAAGCTTCGTGGGGGCTGGGCTGGCTGGGCGCGGCCCTGAGGCAGCTGCGGGGCCACGCATCTGGAAGCGGAAGCGGAGGCAACGCAAACAAAAAACAAAAAAACATGGAACAGCCGGGCTTGTAAGACCACGCCCGGCATATACATCTGCAAATGCATATGCCTATACGCATACATATAGATATAAACATATACGTGTACACCTACGTATAAACAGATATACGCATATACATATGCGTGTACCTATAAATATACAAATACGAATACATACATACACACATGCACACAAATATACATACATACATACACACATACACACATACATACATACATACATACATGCATGCATACATGCATACATACATACATACATACAGACAGACATACATACATACATACATAGTTACATGCGTGTCTACATACATGCATACATATACATGCCTACATGCCTACATGCATACATGTATGCATGCAGGCATACAAGCATATAAACATGCAACCGTATTACTACACCTATATATACACATACATGCATACCTACATGTAAACATTTATGCACACATCTACATATATACATACATTTATACATGCATACATACATACATACATGCATGCATGCATGCATACATACATATATACATACATGCGTACATCATCGACAACCCTGAACAGCCAGAACCGCAACAGCAATACACATACACTCACCCAAACCCTGCAGCTCACAGAGTCCAAGGGGACCCAGGAGGCATGCGCCCTGGACTCCAGGGGGGCCCAAGACTCCTGGGCCGTAGGCTCCGCGGGGAACCATGACTGCAGGGGGCTTCTGGGAAGGCAGGGGTCACGTTGGAAGCTCTCCCACCCGATCAGGGGCCTTCAGGGAAGCCTCCGAACCCCTCGGAGGAGCCCCCTGCCTTCTGATCAGACCATGGCATACGGGAGAAATTTCCTGGCGGAAGAGGGTCCTGGAGTCCAGGGCCCGTTTCCACCAGGGACCCTTTTCCCCTCACTTCCGTTTCGCTCTAATTGCACTTGCATGCTTCGAGTATCCCCCGACCGGTCAACGGTTAACCTGCTTAGGGCGCCATGAGCCTGGACCCCCGGGATGGACGAGAAGGGTCACGGAAGCATTTTCGCGGAAGGCTGCGCTCTCCTCCGGGACCCCCATCTCCGCGGCGAGAAGCCACCCCTCTCCCACCACCGCACCTGGGCTGGAAGCGCGGTCGTGGTGGGCTACATCATCGTCGCGTTTCCCGTCGACCTGACTGGAGGGGGTTTCTTTGTTATGACATTGTCACCGGTCTCGTCTCGTCTCGTCCTTCCGAGGGTGACGAGCGGCCCGCGTGCCTCTGGCAGGGTCAGCACCTTGCGCGCCGCGGCCTGCTGCGGGGGCGGCTGCTGCCCTGGCCGCGGCGTCTTCCTGGCGCGCAGGCGCTCTAGGAGCTGGAAGAGCTCCTCGAGCGTGTCCTGCGCCCGGAAGGGCGCGGGAGGGGTGCGAGGGAAGGGGGGGAGGGGGGGGGAGGAAGAAAAATCACTGCGTCACCACGAGACAGAAAAATTGTTTTGTGCCGCGAGCCTCGCTCGACGATGCGGGCGCTCAGAGGCGCTGGAGCGCCCGCGCACACCCCGCCTGAGCCTCGAGCCCCAGAGGTTGCGGAGTAGCGAGCGGCACCATCTGTCCCCGAGAAGCGGCACGCTCCATCATCGGGGGGGGGAAGGCGCAGATCAGACAGAGGTCCCGTCTGAGGAAGGAGGGAGAGAGAGAGAGAGAGAGCAGAAGGAAAGAGCAAAGGGGAGAGAGCAGGGGAAAGGGAGGGGACACAATTGGGAAGCGGGATAAGGAGGATAACGAGGAAAAGGACGGCAGCGCCGACGAGAACACGAGCCCCCTCGTTCCTGAAGGATTCGATAGGATCGGATTGGATTGGGCTCATAGACAGCCTGTGAAGAGGACAAGTATGCGACGCACGCGGGGTAACACATGTGAATAAAAGCCTGCGGTCAAGCGCCCCTGACCAAGGCAGGCGAGAAATAACCAGGTGCAACGCCACACTTTGTGTGAATGACGGGCGCTGCCGTGACTGAAAGCTTCACGGAACCAGCCAGGGAGGACGGCATGGGAGGCACAAAGGCCTGAACGGGCGTGCGCCAACCCACCCAGGAGGGAGGGGCACGGGAAGGAAGAGGAGAGAAGCACAACACTCGAAACATAAGGCCCCGAGACTTCACGCTGGGTGTCGGGCTGCCTGCAACAATGCTGCCCCTGCACCGCGGCACCTAAGCAAACCAAGTTCTTGCAATGAAGTACAGAGACGTGCGGTCACCACTAAGCCACTCGTCGTGGTCACGTGCTCGCACCGACAAAGCGAAAACGGTGCTGCAAGCAGACAGTCAAGTTCACAAGCATGCACGTTGACCAAAGGGCAAAAGGGGAGACCCAGAAGGGGTGCAGGAGCAGGCGCCCCTAACCGAAAGGCACGCTCGGGCGAACAGCGGTGACCGACGCACCGCGTGGACCAGCGCAAGACAGAAAAGCAGGCAGCAAGCGAGAGGCGAATGCCCTGACGAATACTCGCGGTTGGCACTGCCTAAGTGGATGCGAGGCCCTAGCCACGAGACACGACAGGCTGCACATCGCAGAAAGCTACAGGGACACAGCGCATGCAGACGATGGGGGAATCGATAAGGAGCCCCACAAGCAGATAACCTGGACAGACCTACAGCACACCATACCTAATCTGCAAAGGAGAAGAGCGCCATGGAAAGGAGGCTAGCATGCATGAGCGGGCATTTGGCACAGCAACAAAGGAATTAGCTGGCTTTGCTGTCAGGCGGGCGCTGGAAAGTTTTCGGGGAACCCCTGTGATCTGCGACGATCAGAGCACCCTTCGCTTGTGGGAAAGTCCTCAATACAGCAAGTTCGGCATTGAACCCCTCGCCTGCCTTGCACATCTTAGCACTGCGCAGGCGTCCATCATGACTGATGCGCCCACAGAAGTGGCAAGCTGCTAGCCGGATGGGAGCGCACCTGAAGCAGTAGAACCAACTACTATTCGCCCGCGAGACGGGCCGTGACCTCTTCTTGCACGTGTTGCAAATGGGCGGATGCACTGTGCTGACACTCTGGCATCCTGCTGAGGCTTCAGAGCAAGAGCCTGGGAAACATCACACGCGGGTAACGGGGGCCTTGCGCGCTCTGGCAGCGCACCGAACTGCACAGCGGTCACGTGGGAAATTCAAGCACGCCCGGTCTGGAGATACGTACACGCCGGTCGGAAGAAGTAGGTCAAAACATGAAGTAGGAAGGGGGAGTAAGTTGATTGGGTCCAGGCCCCCCCAGAGAATAACAAAACACAGCAAAAGCGTGTCGATTCTTGAAGTAGGAAGGCGCTTGAAGTAGATTGGGATCTGGGGATCCAAAAATACCTACTTTCAACGACCGGCGTGCACTGATGTCTCCCACGAGCAGCTCCCTGTGGGCCCTCAGGTTGGCGCAACGACTCTCGGGCAGCCAATGCGCTTCTGGCGTGGGAGCAGCCCGCTCCTGAACAGAACGGTTGGGCTGCGCGTCAGCATACTCCAGATCCTTCAATAAGCACCCCCCCCCCGTGCCAACCTGTCCGACGCCCCTTGCCCGCTCCCCCACGCACCCCAATTTCACCCCCTCTCGCTCCCCAACCTCCCCACGCCCCCCGAAGGACAGCGGTTTCCCACCCCCCCACGCGACCCACCCCCCCACGCTTATTGAGAGACCTGGAGTAACTACTAGACCACACTGTTTGCATTTCCTGCGGAGTTTCCTCCGCCTCATCTGCACCAGCCTTGAAGGCCCGAGTGCTGGCCTTACCCTGATACCCAGAGGATCTGGAGCGCAAACCGAGACGGCCTATTGGGACGAGCACATGGGTGGGCTAGGACGAACAGTACCGTCGAAGTCCATCGTCGGAAACCGCTTGCCTGCTGTCAGCACTGCCAGCAGTAAGAGCATCCGGAGCACGGCTCCGGGCAACTGCCTCTCTGGGAGAGCGGGAATCGGCCTGTGGAGTCGACAGGGGGCGCCCCATTGAGACAAACAGGGGAGCGTCACCTTCCACAGCACGCCGGCTATCGCCTGCACCAGTATCAGTACGGGCATCACTGATCCTGTCCGAGATCGGACGGTGCAATCGATTAAGGAGGGAAGAGGGAAGACGAGGAGGAACATCGGATCGGATCGGAAGCGCTGGGTACGATCACTACCTCCCCATCATGCGCCCGACTGCGGTGGCGAACAGACAGTTCATCCTGGCCACGGTACGAACACCACAAACACAGAGTAAAACACAGGAGGGCTCCTGCCGGGGGGAGGTGTCTCCCCCAGGGGCCAGGAGGAATAGATGAGTGGAAGAGGCAGGGGAAGAGAGGAAACGAAATGAGGAGACAAGAATGAGAAAGAGAGAATGATGATGATGATGATGATGATGATGATGATGATGATGATGATGATGATGATGATGATGAAGATGAAGATTAAGATGAATATGAAGATGAAGATGAAGATGATGAAGATGAAGATGAAGATGAAGATGATGATGATGATGATGGTGGTGGTGGTGATGATGATGATGATGGTGGTGATGATGATGATGGTGGTGGTGATGATGATGATGATGATGATGATGATGATGATGGTAGTGATGATGATGCTGATGATGATGATGATGATGGTGATAATGGTGATGATGACGATAACGATGATGATGATGAGGATGATGATGATGATGATGATGATGACGATGACGATGACAATGATACTGATGATGATGAATGACGATGATACTGATGATGATGATGATGATGATGATGATGATGATGATGATGATGATGATGGTGATGATGATGGTGGTGGTGGTGGTGGTGGTGGTGCTGACCACCAGGGCAAGCCCAAGACGCATCAACGATACTGCAAAACACCCTTCTGTCCGAAGTTCCCTCCTCAAAGTTCCCTACAAATCTTCCGTCCCACTGCACGAAGCAGCCCCGTTGCAAGGTCAACACCATGTGGGCCTGCCGTTCAGGCGAGAGCCCCGCTTTGAAACAGGAACTGCAGTGCATCGTTTTGCCTGGCCGCAGGCTCGCGCATCGCGGGCGGGAGGGTGGGGCCCGCGAGGGAAATGCAAGAAGACACCCGTGGCACGTACCTCCTGCAGCACCCCCGAGTGTCCCAGACACTGCCGCCCCAGCCTCACCTGATTCCCTGCGTTACATCTCATTCTCGGACGCCCGGTGGTTTTTGGGTCTTAACTCGGCCCTCCATTGGCCGTTCGAGACGATCCAGGCACCCCCGGAACGCCCACGGCGAGGCGCAGCCGCTGGAACGTACCCCGAGGCTGGAAAACCGCCGCGAACCGACGAAAGCGTCCGAAGACCTCGAATCTCGAGCCCGAAACTTCCCCCTTCTCACTGCCCCCCTCGATGAGGAGGACCACGAAAACGAGGACGACGACGAGGACGACGACGAGGAGGGCGACGCCTCTGGGCCAGCACCTTCGCTCGGGCCCTGAGGAGGGCGGAGACCTTCAGTCTCCCTCTTGAATTAGGAACCGAATTGTGCATGGTGAAAACGAAATCAAGAGCAACTGCGCAGCATACGAGGAAGTGGGACGGATGAGGAGGACGACGAAAACGAGGACGACGACGAGGGGGGGCGACACCTACAGTTATAGGCAGGGCAGCGGCGTCTCCTCGTTCTTCGGCGTGACCAGGTGCCGCAGGCCCCGCGCGGAGTTCACGAGCGCCGCGTTCGTCATGGCGCCAGCGCGCCCGCGCGCCCCGAGCAGGAGGAGAGGGGGGAGGGGGAGGGGGAGGGGGAGAGGGAGGAGCAGGAGGAGGAGGAGGAGGAAGAGGAGGAGGAGAAGGAGGAGGAGGAAGAGAAGGAGGAGGAGGAGGGGGAGGGGCAGGAAGAGGAAGAGGAGGAGGAGCAGGAGGAGGAGGAGCAGGAGCAGGAGAAGGAGGAGGAGGAGGAGGAGGAAGAGGAGGAGGAGCAGCAGGAGCAGGAGGCGTAGGAGGCAAGCAGCCTGCAGAGGTTCTCCGAAAAGCCGGAAAACCCTGGAACACACATGAAACCCCTAGCCACTTATGGCGGACGGGGGAGGCGAGGCCTCAGGAATAAAGCTGAACGAATTCAGGCCACTGGGGGCAACGGTGCCCCCGTCTTGGGGTTGATACCGTTCCCCACCATCTCGGCCTTCCGTTTTTGGTTAGCCCTGGTGGCAGGGTTGGAAGATGGCCCCAGACACGCTGAATTCAGATTCGAGCGCCCGCTCCACCCCTCCTCCCACGACGTGATGGCCCCACACTGGGTGCAACATACCATTGCCCCGTGGGAAACCAAAACATGCTTCAGTTCCCTAAAAGCCTCGGGCCCGTCTGGTGATTCCCCTGGCGGCGCAGGCACGGGCCCCAGGACCTCATCAGCTGCTGCCAGTGCGTCGGTCACGCGCCGAACTCGGACGGGACCCCTGAAGTCACTGACCACCAGGCCAGGCCTCGAGAAGAAGACGCGGGCCGCCCATGCCTGGGTGGGCAACGGCTTACATTCACCACTCAGGAGATGCGCCAAATGCCCGTCTGTGCGGGCAACACAGGAGCACCTGCGGCACCGAACCTCCATGGACGGCCCAACGCGAACGAGGTCGTGAGACACGATCTTCGCAGGGGCCCCGAGAATTTTGCGGGGTACCCCAACGCGAGATTCGGGCGGTTCATGCCACAGGTCGAGCTCCACCGCCCGACAGACCGCCCAAGAAACATCTCGGAGGATCGCCTCGGCTCGCTGGAGCTCCGGCGAGCGAAACTCAGCGTGGACCGACGACACAGCATGCGCTGACGCCCCGAGCTTGGCGAACCAGTCAGCCCACATATTGCCAACACACCAGCGGAGGGGAATCCCCAAAGAGGGCCTCCTCGGGGCTCTTGTGGGCAGGGGTCCAACTGAAACTAGGAGGCTCGCGGGAACCTACAGCCCCAAAAATGAGCCTCCAAATCCTAGCATGCTTCCCCCTGGAGCTATCAAGAGCGGGGTCCCAGGAGAGACCTTCAGAAACCAAGCTCGCCAAATCACGCACTACATGCTGGGTGGCCTGGGCATGCTTCACAAGGCGGTACACCGCCCAACGCTCAGCTCTACCGACAGTCTGAATGCCGGGGAGAGGGCCATACATCGCGCGTGCAGGAAACATAATCTCATCGAGCTGGACTGCGGACCAGCCGCAGCGCGTCACTTCAGGCTGCGCCGACTCGAAACCTGAGCCGTCTGCGCAGGACTCAGAACCCCACGCGCCAGCCTCGGCGTCGCCCCAGAAGTAGGTCGGGAGCTCGCTCTCCGCGGCTTTCACCGTGAACGCGTACGGGACGTCCAGGAGGAGTAGGAGGAGGAAGGAGCAAGAGGAGGTGGGGGAGGGGGGAGCAGGAGGTGTGAAGGGGAAGGAGCGAGGGGGCGGGGGAATCACACACACACACACACACGATGAGAACGGGAAGGAGCACGAAGACGAGATGGGACGAGGAGGGGAGGAAGGAGGTGGGACGGGGGGGGGAAGAAGGGGAAGGGAGGGAAGGGGCGGGAAGGGGGATGAGGGGGGGTGGAGGGGAAGGGGAAAGGATGATGGGGAAAGGATGTGGGAAGGATGGGATGGGGGTAAGGATAGGGGGAAGGAGGAGGAGGAGGAGGAGGAGGAGGAGGAGGACCGGAGTAAGCCCAAGATGCATCAGTGAAATTGCGACGCGCACTCCCGTCCCAAATCCCCGCCTTATGAGTCCCTACAAGACTCCCATGTCACTGCAATCAGCGATCGTCGTGAAAGGCCAGAGCAGCTTGGCCAAAAGGAACTGCCCTGCATTATTCTGGCGCGTAGCCAGGAATGCGAAAAAAAATCCGCCGACCCCAGAGGCGTGTGAGGGAGAGTGTGTGCTAGAGCCATTCATCGTGAGGTTCTCCTTTCAAGCAGCCACCGACCGATACCCCCCTCCTGGCTCTCTCCCTTGGAACCTTTGTTCTTGGGCCCCCCCTTCCCCCACCACACCACTTCTCGCCCAAAACCGACCGATACCCCCAACCACACTCCCCACCACGCCCCCGACCCCCGAACCCACGATGTCTCGCCCAAACACGACCCACGCCCCCCCCCCTCCCCCCACCCGGCCCCCACCTGGCCCCGACACCCTCAAGCCTCTGGGCTCTGTTCTTGGAACCCCCGACCCCACGATTTCTCGCCCAAAAACGACCAACGTCCCCCCCCCCCTCCACCTGGCCCCGACACCCCCAAGGCTCTGGGCTCTGTTCTTGGGACTCCCCCACCCCACGATTTCTCGCCCAAAAACGACCAACGCCCCCCACCTGGCCCCCACCTGGCCCCGACACCCCCAAGCCTCTGGGCTCTGTTCTTGGGGTCCCCGACCCCACGATTTCTCGCCCAACAACGACCAAGGCCCCGCACCTGGCCCAACCTGGCCCCGACACTCCCAAGCCTCTGGGCTCTGTTCTTCGGAACCCCGACCCCACGAGTTCTCGCTCAAAAACGACCAACGCCACCCCCCCCCCCCTCACCTGGCCCCCACCTGGCCCCGACACTCCCAGGCCTCTGAGCTCTGTTCTTGGGACCCTTGACGCCACGATTTCTCGCCCAATAACGACCAACGCCCCCCACCTGGCCCCCACCTGGCCCCGACACCCCCAAGCCTCTGGGCTCTGTTCTTGGGACCCCTGACCCCACGATTTCTCGCCCAAAAACGACCAACGCCCCCCTCCCCCCCAGGCCTCTGGGCTCTGTTCTTGGGACCCCCAACCCCACGACTTCTCGCTCAAAAACGACCAACGCCCCTCACCTGCCCCCCACCTGGCCCACACCTGGCCACCACCCCCCCACGACATCCCCAGGCCTCTGGGCTGTGTTCTTGGGACCCCCGGGCCCTACGATTTGTCGCCCAAAAACGACCCATACCCCCCACCTGGCCCCCACCTGGCCACCACCTCCTCACGACATCCCCAGGCCTCTGGGCTCTGTTCTTGGGACCCCCGACCCTACGTTTTCTCGCGCCAAAAACGACCCATACCCCCAACCTGGCCCACACCTAGCCACCACCCCCCCACGACATCCCCAGGCCTCTGGGCTCTGTTCTTGGAACCCCGGACCCTACGATTTGTCGCCACAAAACAACCCATACCCCCCACCTCGCCCCCACCTGGCCACCACCCCCCCACGACATCCCCAGGCCTCTGGGCTCTGTTCTTGGGACCCCGGACCCTACGATTTGTCGCCCCAAAACAACCCATACCCCCCACCTGGCCCACACCTGGCCACCACCCCCCCCACGACATCCCCAGGCCTCTGGGCTCTGTTCTTCGGACCCTCGACCCTACGATTTGTCGCCCCGAAACAACCCATACCCCCCACCTGGCCCACACCTGGCCACCACCCCCCCACGACGTCCCCAGGCCTCTGGGCTGTGTTCTTGGGACGGGCTCTATTCTTGGCACCCCCGACTCGACGATTTCTCGCCCGAAAACGACCCATACCCCCCACCTGGCCCCCACCTGGCCACCACCCCCCCACGACATCCCCAGGCCTCTGGGCTCTGTTCTTCGGACCCCGGACTCTACGATTTGTCGCCCCAAAACAACCCATACCGCCCACCTGGCCCTCACCTGGCCACCACCCCCACCCCCCCCCCTTTGCGACCTTTGCGAACAGGCTCCACGTCGCTCGGGCGACGAAGCCTATGCCCCCCCCCCCCCCACGACATCTCAGGCCTCGGGCGGGTTCTTGGGACCCCGACCTTACGATTTCTCGCCCAAAAACAACCCATACCGCCCACCTGGCCCCCACCTGGCCACCCCCCCCCCCCACGACATCCCCAAGCCTCTGGGCTCTGTTCTTGGGACCCCCGACCCTACGATTTCTCGCCCAAAAACTACCCATACCCCCCACCTGGCCCCCACCTGGCCACCACCCCCCCACGACATCCTCAGGCCTCTGGGCTCTCTTTTTCAGACTTCGGACCTTACGATTTGTCGCCCCCAAACAACACATACCCCCCACCTGGTCCCCACACGGCCACCACCCCCCCACGACATCCCCAGGCCTCTGGGCTGTGTTCTTGGGACCCGGACCCTTACGATTATGTCGTCCCAAAAAACGACCCATACCCCCACTGGCCCCAAACCTGGCCACCACCCCACGAAATCCTCAGGCCTCTGGGCCTCTTGTCTTGGAGCCTCCCGCCCTACGATTTCTCGCCCAAAAAACAAACCCATACCCTTCCACCTCGGCCCTACCTGGCTCACCACCCCCCCCGAATCCCAGGCCTCTGGGCTCTCTTTTTCAGACTTCGGACCCTACGATTTGTCGCCCCAAACCAACCCATACCCCCCACCTGGCCCCCACCTGGCCACCACCCCCCCACGACATCCCTCGGCCTCTGGGCTGTGTTCTTGGCACCCCCGACCTTACGATTTCTCGCCCAAAAACAACCCATACCCCCCACCTGGCCACCACCTGGCCACCACCCCCCCACGACATCCCCAGGCCTCTGGGCTCTGTTCTTGGGACCCCCGCTCTTCCGATTTCTCGCCCAAAAACAACCCATACCCCCCACCTGGCCCTCACCTGGCCACCACCCCCCCACGACATCCCCAGGCCTCTGGGCTCTGTTCTTGGGACCCCGGACCCTACGATTTGTCGCCCCACAACTACCCATACCGCCCACCTGGCCCCCACCTGGCCACCACCCCCCCGCGACATCCCCAGGCCTCTGGGCTGTGTTCTTGGGACCCCGGACCCTACGATTTGTCGCCCCAAAAACAACCCATACCGCCCACCTGG